AGGTCGAAATAGTAATATATTTACTATGCCTTTGTATTGGTGGGCCATTGAATTTAATTTGCATTGGACGTTCGTTTCGTTTGTTTATAAATGGCCAAAAGCAACGAAATCAAATATTTTTCCTTAGGCTACATTTAAATATTGCTGATTTATTAACAATTTTCATTTATACACCATCGCAAATTATTTGGATGACAACATTTCAAGTATATTTCAATTTGTTTATTTGTTTATTTTACTTTTATTATTTTTATTTAGTTACCTTTTTGTTTTTTTTTTTTCGAAAAATACACCATAATGGAACACTTTTAGATATATTTCAATTTGTTTGTTTAGTTAATTTTGTGTTTTTTATTTTTTCTAAAATTATAATAATCTTTTATGTAAATTTCAAATTTGTTTGTTTGTTTTAATTATTATTTATTTTTATTTATTTGCCTTTTTTTTTTTTTTGAAATTACAATAATTCGAAAAATGCAACTTAATACAACGCTTTTGATATATTTCAATTTGTTTGTTTAAGTTTTTTTTTTTAAATTCCAAAAAATACATGAATGTTTTGTTTTTTTAAATTTAAACAAAGAAAATACTGATTTCTATTGTTTTTTATGTCAACCAGGAACGACGTAATCATTGAATATATACGTAAATAAAATGTAAATTAAAATTAATTTCATTTCTGATAATATTATTTCTAATTTTAAACGTCACAAATGAGTATTTATAGACAAATTTTTAATGTATTTTTAAATAATCATAAATTTAATTTTTTTCTATCAGTTGAAAAGAAATTAAAGTTTCTTCCAACAATTTAAAATAAAGTTTATACAATTTTTGCAAACAAAATATTAACAGTTCGTTTTTCTTTTTTTTTAATAGCTTATTTGTCTAAAATCAAAAATTTCAAATGAATAATTTTTTTTTTAAACCATGTTGGCAAAATTTTAAATATTTTGCTTTCATTTTGAATAAAAAATATTGGTTAGAATTGACAAACGAATGATTTTTTGTTTGCAATATGTAAATTTAATTATTTGCAAACTTTAAATTGAAATTTAATAAATTCTCAAAGATTTTTTCAGTGGTATGGCGGAGATATTTTATGTCGCATATGTAAATTTTTTCACACATTTAATTTTTATTTAAATTCATTTGTTATTGTGGTAATAGCAATTGATCGAGCGCAAGGCGCATATCGAATAAAGTTAGTTTAACTTTTTTTCCTCTTTTTTTTTCAATCTCAGTTAGTTTCATTAATTATTTGAATAATATTTAACAATTATTCTTTTATATAATTTTTATCTTAAAAAATAAATTTTACACTGTAAATTTAAAAATTTGAAAAAATTTTTTTTGCATTTTAATTTTTTCTTCTCTTACAAAAAAAAAAAAAAAAAAAAAAAAAAAATTAATTATAATAAAATGATAAAACAGTAGTACAATAATTTAAAAAAAGATTAAAACAAATTAAAAATTAAAAATGGAAAAATAAAAACTTGAAATCAATCTTAACGGATAGCAAATTTTTTTTGACAAATTTACTGTTTGAGTATTTTAAAACGTTTTTCAATTCAATTAAAAATGGGAAAATTTTTTTTTCGTTGCTGCATTCTTTCGTCTTAAAACATGATACCGAATTAGAGATTAGAATAAGAATTTAAAATTTTTAAAAAAATTTCAAAAATTTTTAAATTGCATCGAATGTATTTCAAATAGCTAATTAATTTCATTGGAAAAAAAAATGTGACAATTTTTCTTTTTTGAATTCATTAAATAGATAAAATTTTGCATTTCTTTTTTTTACTTTAATTTTAACAGTTTTAAAAATTGAAATATTTATGATTTGAAAATTTACAATGATTGTATTAATTTCATTCTTTTTATTTTACAAATTTTTACTTCCACAATTATTTCATATTTGTTTTTTTTTTTTTTTTTTTTTTTTTTTGAATTTTGTTATAATTTCATTTTAGATATTAAAATTTTCAATTTTTTTATGTTAGTAATTTTTTGTACATTATTGTAGCAATGTGATAGCATCAAAATTTGCATTTCGTTGGGTAAAATTTATGCTTATAACATCGTACATAGCTGCGATTATTTTTTCGGTGCCACAAATATTCATATTTCGTGTTTATCAACCAAATGAAAATATCGAATTTCGGTAATTCATTTTTTAATTTTGTAAATTTGTTTATTTCAATGTTATTTACATTCTGTTTATTTATTTTTCTTTATTTAATTATTATTTTTTTTTTAATATTACAATAAGTTAGAATTGAAAACTAATGTAATAAATGAGAAAGGTAATTTATTAAACAAAATAATTACAGCATTAATATTATGTAAAATTTTTAAATATGTTAGTTTTATTGAACAAATGAATTTGAAAATAAAAACTGAATAAACAAATTTATGGGAGAATTTCGATGGTATCTAATTTCTAAACTTTACTATTTTCGAAGAATTGCTATAACGAAATGATTTCCTTGCCAAGTTATGCAAATTAAGATCTATCTTTCGTCGCATTACTTAAAAGTATCGTTACTTGCAATAGTCTTTGTTATTCTTTTTCATTCTTTGTTGCATTCCTTCGTCGCATTACTTGTAACAGTCTTTGTCGCATTTCCTTGTCGCATTTCTTTATCGCATTACTTGTAACAGTCTTTGTCGCATTTCTTTATCGCATTACTTGTAACAGTCTTTGTCGCATTTCTTGTAACAGTCTTTGTCGCATTTCCTTGTCGCATTTCTTTATCGCATTACTTGTAACAGTCTTTGTCGCATTTCTTTATCGCATTACTTGTAACAGTCTTTGTCGCATTTCTTGTAACAGTCTTTGTCGCATTTCCTTGTCGCATTTCTTTATCGCATTACTTGTAACAGCCTTTGTCGCATTTCTTTGTCGCATTACTTGTAACAACCTTTGTCGCATTACTTGTAACAGTCTTTGTCGCATTTCCTTGTCGCATTTCTTTATCGCATTACTTGTAACAACCTTTGTCGCATTACTTGTAACAGTCTTTGTCGCATTTCCTTGTCGCATTTCTTTATCGCATTACTTGTAACAGTCTTTGTCGCATTTCTTTATCGCATTACTTGTAACAGTCTTTGTCGCATTACTTGTAACAGCCTTTGTCGCATTTCCTTGTCGCATTTCTTTGTCGCATTACTTGGAACAGCCTTTGTCGCATTTCCTTGTCGCATTTCTTTATCGCATTACTTGTAACAGCCTTTGTCGCATTTCCTTGTCGCATTTCTTTATCGCATTACTTGTAACAACCTTTGTCGCATTACTTGTAACAGCCTTTGTCGCATTTCCTTGTCGCATTTCTTTATCGCATTACTTGTAACAGCCTTTGTCACATTTCCTTGTCGCATTTCTTTGTCGCATTACTTGTAACAACCTTTGTCGCATTACTTGTAATAACCTTTGTCACATTTCCTTGTCGCATTTCTTTGTCGCATTACTTGGAACAGCCTCGGTCGCATTACTTGTAACAACCTTTGTCGCATTACTTGTAATAACCTTTGTCGCGTTTCCTTGTCGCATTTCTTTGTCGCATTACTTGGAACAGCCTCGGTCGCATTACTTATAACAACCTTTGTCGCATTACTTGTAATAACCTTTGTCGCATTACTTGTAATAACCTTTGTCACATTTCCTTGTCGCATTTCTTTGTCGCATTACTTGGAACAGCCTCGGTCGCATTACTTGTAACAACCTTTGTCGCATTACTTGTAATAACCTTTGTCGCATTACTTGTAATAACCTTTGTCACATTTCCTTGTCGCATTTCTTTGTCGCATTACTTGGAACAGCCTCGGTCGCATTACTTGTAACAACCTTTGTCGCATTACTTGTAATAACCTTTGTCGCATTACTTGTAATAACCTTTGTCACATTTCCTTGTCGCATTTCTTTGTCGCATTACTTGGAACAGCCTCGGTCGCATTACTTGGAACAGCCTCGGTCGCATTACTTGTAACAACCTTTGTCGCATTACTTGTAATAACCTTTGTCGCGTTTCCTTGTCGCATTTCTTTGTCGCATTACTTGGAACAGCCTCGGTCGCATTACTTATAACAACCTTTGTCGCATTACTTGTAATAACCTTTGTCGCATTACTTGTAATAACCTTTGTCACATTTCCTTGTCGCATTTCTTTGTCGCATTACTTGGAACAGCCTCGGTCGCATTACTTGTAACAACCTTTGTCGCATTACTTGTAATAACCTTTGTCGCATTACTTGTAATAACCTTTGTCACATTTCCTTGTCGCATTTCTTTGTCGCATTACTTGGAACAGCCTCGGTCGCATTACTTGTAACAACCTTTGTCGCATTACTTGTAACAGCCTTTGTCGCGTTTCCTTGTCGCATTTCTTTGTCGCATTACTTGTAACAACCTTTGTCGCATTACTTGTAATAACCTTTGTCACATTTCCTTGTCGCATTTCTTTGTCGCATTACTTGGAACAGCCTCGGTCGCATTACTTGTAACAACCTTTGTCGCATTACTTGTAATAACCTTTGTCACATTTCCTTGTCGCATTTCTTTGTCGCATTACTTGGAACAGCCTCGGTCGCATTACTTGTAACAGCCTTTGTCGCATTACTTGTAACAGCCTTTGTCGCATTTCCTTGTCGCATTTCTTTGTCGCATTACTTGTAACAGCCTTTGTCGCATTTCCTTGTCGCATTTCTTTGTCGCATTACTTGTAACAACCTTTGTCACATTTCCTTGTCGCATTTCTTTGTCGCATTACTTGTAATAACCTTTGTCGCATTTCCTTGTCGCATTTCTTTGTCGCATTACTTGGAACAGCCTCGGTCGCATTACTTGTAACAGTCTTTGTCGCATTCCTTGTAATAGCCTTTGTCGCTTGATTTACGGCTATTCCTTTGTCACATAACTTGCGGCTTACATTCATCTACTTATGATCCGCCCTTTGTCGCATAACTTACGAATATAAGAATTTAGCTCTGTCGCATGATTCATGGCTTACTCTTCCTCACAAAGCGACAGGATACTTTTCAAAAAAAAAAGTGATGATTATAGGTGATTGTAGTAGAAAAACATTCATGTAACATTAAATACGTAAAATTAATACGTGTACGTGAACGTGCAACCTAAAACATTCTCCGTCCTTTTTTTATTTTGTCTTACTTTCATTGAAAGTTTAATTTTTCTTCAGCAAATTTTTTTCTGCTACAAAAATTCCTCAGCCAACTAGAAATAACATTACTTGTAATAGCATTTATAGTAAGATTAAACAATATTTGATGAAATTATTTAAATGGATTAAATTAATTATCTTTCGAACTTTTTTCATTTTATTTTTTTCAATTAATTTTAAATTTAATTATTATTTTGCTTCTTTTTCCATTACAAAAATTTCTCAGCCAATGTACACCAATATGGACAATTTATGCTTACAAATATGACATTCAAATGCAATTAGCTGAAACAGATCAAGAAAAGCATCAATTAACAACTAATTTCTATCAGGTATATATTATTATTAATTAATTAATTTCTTTTTTTAGTCTTTTAAATTTCTTTAATTTCTCAAGATTTCTTTTTTTTTCAAAAAAAAAAAAATAATAGAAATTAAATTCAAGATAGAAAATAAATAGATAAATGAACAAATAGATAAATCAAAAATTCAAATAAAATAAAGATGAAAAATAGAAAAAGATGGAAAATGGGAAACAAAAAGTTTTTGTAATGATAATCTTAAATTATCGTTGTTAAAGTAATATTTTTTTTTTTGATAAATTTGATTTAAATTCTAGGATAAAATATATAATTTTATATTTCAATTCAATTCTTTTTAGGTTCTTCGATTAGAAAAAATGTATAATATAACACATTTATTGCTTGTTTTTTGGATTCCAACAACAATTATTGCATTTTCATATATGTTTGTCATTTGTAAATTTAATTCGATGAAACGACGAAATTGGCATAGTAAAATTTTTAAATTCTTTTCACTTTTATTATAATCATTACCTTTTTTTTTTTTTTTGGAAATAATTTAATTGTTTTTGTTTGGTAATTCAATGGCAAAATTTTTTTTTGTAAAAAAAAATGCAAATGTATTATAAATTTAATAGTAATAATAAAAATGGTAGAATGAAATTTTTTAATTTAAATAATTTAAAAATTATGAATAATTTTGCATTATTATTTAATTCTAATAAATTGAAACGTTATCATTTTAAAATTGAAAAAAAAATTAAACCCTCTAAAATAGTAAATATGAAATGAATAATTTTGATGAATGATATGTAATCAATAGTTAATTATTTGTTAGATAAAATTTATCAAAAAGTAAATCAAATTAGTTGTCCAATTTACTGCTTATTTTTAATAATATAATCGTTTAATTATAATAATTTCTAATTTTGAGTTTTTTTTTTTTCGAAAATCAAAAAAAAAATTTTTCACTTTATTCTACTAATGAGGAAATGAAAAATAATAATTGTAATGCAATTTTAATTTGTTAACATTAGTCATTGAGTGAAGGAGGAGAAAAAAAAAAAACAAAATTGAAATTTATTTACAATTTTTCAAATTCATTAAATTTTCAGCTGATCGTCCTTCATACATTACTTATATTATTTCACGTATATCACGGAATAAACAGTATGGCAATTTAAATGCTAGCTCGTAAGTGCTAAAATAAAAAATATATTTTCTTTTCTTTCTTCCTTTTTCTTAAAAATTTATTTAAATTTTAAAATGTAAAAGTTATCCTTCGTTTTTTTTTTTTTTTTTTTGATAATATAATTTTTGTTACTTTTTTTTTGACCTTTTTCCTCTTTTTCATAAACAAATTAGCATTTTTTTTTTATAGAAAGACAAATTTTAAATTTTTTTTTTTTTAATGAATATGAATTAGTATATTATTAAAATTTTGAATGTTTTTAATAAATTCAATGAAAGAAAAAGAAAATTTTTTTTTTTAAATTATAAAATAATCCAAAGTAGAATAACAACAAAAAAAAAAAACTCATTTTGAAATTGAAAATTAGAAATGAATTGAAATAAATTATTCATACTTCACCATAGCTATTTTAATGTAAATAATAAACGTTTATTATTTATAAATTTATCATAGAAACAAATTTATCTTTAAATTTAATATTTTCATAAGTTAATTTAATTACAAATGAAACAAATAGATATTATTTTGTGTGAAATTTTTAGCAATTTAAAATAATCAAAAAATTTTTGCTTTTTTTTTTTTTAGAAGAATAGCAATGACAGCAGTTACGTCAACGTCAACGTCAACTAATGCGCATACAATTTCAATGGAAAATAATTCGCCGATTGTTACGTTAGATTCTTCTACTACTATTGGTCCATTAGTCTTACAAACATTATGTAAAGCTTCAAAGGTATTTAATTTAATTTATGTAATTTAATCGTTTTTTAAATTTGTTGAAAAAAGGAAACAAAAAATGAGAAAATATACAATTTTTATAATTTTATTATATGTTTTAATTAAGCCAAAAAAATTAAATGAATTGAATTAATTGCAAAATCTTATTTAGATTAGAATCAGTTAACTATGATTCATTATATAAAATAAAAGTAACAATTATTTGTTCATTCTTTCTTTCCCTCTTTCTTTATTTCTCTTCCTCTCTCTCTCCCTCCCTCTCTCCGAATTTCACATACAATAAAATGTGTATTACATTAAATTGGACAAAATACTCTAACAATGAAGAACGATTATTATATTATATCATAGATGTTTTTGATAACATTTTTATTTGAAATTTTTTTTCCTTATAAAAATTTCAAAAATAATTAATCTTGTAAAAAATTTATGTATCACATATATTTGTTATTATGATTTCGAATGTCTTATAAAAAATAATATTAAATAATTATAAAATTTATTTCTTCGTTTTCCTAAAGAAAAAAAAAATGTAATTAACGATTGAAATGTAATTATTAAATACTTAAAGTAGTCATAATATTTAAATATGGAAAATTATTTTAATTTACTGTGAAATTACATAAGACTATTACTATAACGAATTAAATTTCAAATTTAAACTAGTGCTAAAATTAGTTTTGAATGTAAACTTATTGTTGTCTTATCGTGTTTTCCTATCTTTCAAATGATTTCGCTTTTTTTTTTTTGAGCAAAAAAAAAAGGAAAGAAAAGATTTAAAATTTTTAAATCAATAACGATTTAATTTTTTTTTTTAATATGCTGTACTAAACTTGTAAAATATATTTGTTGTAAATTTAATGTAAATATAAAATAACACAAAATAACTGTACTTTTTCTAAAGAGGTAAAATGTAAATTAAAAACAGCAAACGAAGTTAAATTTAGATTGAATTAAAATTGAACAGTATGTTAAAAGAGTTGAAAATTTTTTTCGAATTTCAATTATTTCAATTCTTGTTTTTCTTTCATAAACGATCTCTGAATAATACAAAAATTTTTTTTTTTTAAACTGAATACATTCACTTACAAAACAAACTACATTGTTTAGAATTATTTTAATTTCAATATTTCTCTTCAAATGTATTAATTTCTATATGATGCATATTTAAATTTATAATTTATTCCGCAATTTATGAAAACATTTTTAACTTTTTTTTTTTTTTTTTTTTTGATAACAAAATATCATTTGCATATCACATTTCTTAATCATATAGCAAAATACACCATGCGAATATTTAAAAATTTTTTTTCCGTCAAATTTTTTTTTTAATTCTGTAAACAAAAAAAAAAAAACCAAAACAAAAAAAAAAAAAATAAAGCAAATATCAATTTTATATTGAAATTTGTCAACGAATGCCAATTTAATGTGATATTAACATGTTTTCATGCAAAGAATAATTTTAAACTTTCCGTTTTTCAAAAAATAAATTTTATTTTTCTTTTTTTTTTTCAAAATTTTTCTAATTTACTTTTCAGATAGCTAAACGTCAAGCAGCATTGACACTTATTGCATATTTAATTTTATGGTCACCGTACAATATGCTAGCAATGATGAATACATTAACAATGCCAACAGAAAATGACGGAGTTTTCATGGATACATTAAATTTTTTAAATGCGCTAATTGTTTTTAATCCAGTCGTTAATCCTATAATTTATGGCCTTTTTTAGTATTAAATTATTCCTAATTTTATTACCTTTCTACTCTTTTTTTTTTTGTTCAGTTATTTTACTTTAAAAGTTAAAATCACAGCAGTTAAGTTAAATACAAACAATTATTCATGATTTTCCTTAAATTTTAATTAAATTTCATTTTTATCTAATTACTGCTTCATTTTTTACAGTTATATGCATTATATAGTAGGAAAACAAAAAATAAACAAAAAAAAAGTTTATGCAAATTTTTTTGTTAATGGCATTAATTATTGAATGACATGTAAAATATACAATTTGTTATTATCAATACTTTTTTATCACTTTTTTTTCTTGTATGAAATCAATTAATTAATGAATAATGTTATCAGGAGAGATCTCGGAATGATTGTAATATTATGACAATAAGAATTAATTATTAAAGTATTCAGTTAATTACTTACGGGCTTAATTACAAATTAATGGACAAATTATAAATTTACAATTTTTATTTTACATTTTCTACACTATTATTTTGTTCATTGTAACTGCTAATTAAATTGTGCTAAATTCCATAAAGTGCTCCATTTTGAAAGCATTAAAAGCAGTTTTTCTATAAATTAAATTTAGTCATAGTATAATTTCTTCATCAAATAAAACTGAGGATTCTAATAAGGAATGAGAAGAGTACAATATTCAAAATATGTCAACAATATATTGGAAAAAATAAACATAAATATTTGATGAAATAGAGTAAATCAGCGCTGATAACAGGTAAGCTCTTGCAGATGGAAAATTTCTATTTCAAATACATTTTACTGCAAAAAGTTAAAGAAAAAATGGTAATCGTAAATAATAATTAAAGATAACTTATTCATTATCCCTGTTCATTCATTAACTTATTCATTATTCAACTTATTCAAGTTTTACTTATTATTGAATAGATAGGTACAACATATCGATTTCGTGTACGTATTTTAAATGCAAACTAATATTTGAATTTAAAATATCAATTTAAGATTTATTAATTTCTTTTTGCTTACTCATCATTCAATATCGTTTTGAATGATCAATACTCACTGGAAATTAATAAATTGGCTAATTTGCTAATCTTAAAATATTTAGGCTCTAAAGAAAAAGCTATAAAAAATGGTCTTAGGCAAAAAATTAATTATTCTTTAATTATTCTTACTAATTATTAATTATAAACTGATTAATAAATAATTGTGATAAGCATGAGAAAAAATAAATTGAAGTAAAGATCTCTTTTTAGTTATAAATCAAACTTATGAAATATAAATCATACTTGTAATGATTCAAATTAATTTTAAAAAATAGCTATTTTAAAATATGAGAACTGTAAACTTTATTAAAATAGCAATACATTTGCAAAAAAGAAAAGCTTACGTATAAATGAAAGTATCTTTTAAGCATTTTTTAAATTTTATCTAAAGCTAACAATTATATCTCCAATGTTACAGTTACAGTATACTTGATTACAGTATAACTTGGTACAGTATAGGAAGTAAAAAGAAGTGAAAAATTTGTTACAGTAGCAGCAATTGAACAAATAAAATAAAATATATTACAGAGGAATGAATTTTTATCCTTTCTCATCCTCTCTGTAGTAAACGAAGAAATTGAGGTATCTGATACAAAAAACCACCACTGTCCTCCGTATTACCCAATCCACCACCGGTTAACTGTGATATACTGTTCGAAATTAAACTAAGTATCATTTTGGCACCGGAAGGACTAGTCATCCAATATGGTTGTACTGTTAATTGCGATGGTTTTAGCGAAGATTGTGGATCAACAACTGAAACATGTGGATTTACCACTTCACCTGAAATCCATGGTAACAATCGTGGTGGTCGAGCTGTTGGTGCCACTCTAGATTTTACTGATGTATTAATATCAACAATCTTTGCTTGAGGTATCGTGGTAGTTGCCAAAAATGGTTCAACTAATGGTACTGGTGGTGATGGTGGTTCTATGGAAGCTGGCATTAATGGATGACGAGTGGTGAAAAATGGTACAAAGGTTCCGGTACCTAAAATGATTTCTGATATTTACCCAATTAAACTGATATTAATAGAAAAAATTCGTTAGTGTGCTATATTTAAATGCTATATTGTGCTATATTTAAATGATTAAAATCAGTATATTTCGAACTTTCCCAACTAATTAAAACAAGAAATAAATTATACTAAATGTTTTTATTTTTGTTTTTTTAATTAATAAAAAAGAAATGAATTATTAGAAATATTTTTCCATCAAAATAATTTTCAAATTAAAACTGTTCATTTGATTTAAACCTAAAATTGCAACCAACTATTAATATTAACGGGAGCAATTATTGTAAATTAAAAATAATTTTTTTTTTTTTTAGACCCAAATAAAAAAAATGCACACCTCTACAAATATCAGTCTTTTTCATACATTCTGCTACAGTGTCAAATAAATTTTGATTTGTTTCAACTGTGCGACAACCAGGAAACCAAAATTCTTCACATCGTTGATTATATCTTCAAAAAAAGAAATATTTAAGTTATATTTTTTGCGTTAATGACAAATTCCATTATTAAAAAAATTTATTCATTTTCTAAATTTTTGCAATTTTTGTTTCTTTCTTTCTAAATTTTACAACTAGAAAATTGTACTTAAAAGGAATAGTTTCTTGGTGACAGTTAATGGTTACAAATGATAATCTTATTTCATTTTAAAATCATTATCAAAAAAGGTTAACTATTGTTATCACTACTTTTATACTAAAAAGTACATTAATCTTTATGAACAATAATTGCATTACTTTTTAGCAATGATAAATTAAAAAATTTGGTAAAATTTAAAAAACTAACTTGTTATAAGCTAAATTTTTTTAAAACTAACTTGTTATAAGCTACTTTGATTGTAAATCCACAATATCTTCCTCGTGGTTGATCCAAATTACAGATTTCTACTAAATTATCAATTGATTTGGTTGCTATTTCTGGAAATTTTCATTAATTAATCAAACTAATTTTCAAACTTAATTTTTTGCTTTTGAAAACTTTCTAAGCTGAACTTAAATGATAAATCATTAAATTGAAAAATGAGAAATAATTTAGATAAAAAGAAATGAATCAAAAAATGAAGCTCAAAAAGTAAATAACAATTTTTTGAAAAAAAATTTTAAATATTCGGAATTAATTAGAAAAAAACAAATAAATCTTGAATTATAGCATATTTGATGCAAATATAAATTTGAATTATAGCTGAATTATAGATAAACGATTATATCTACAAATTAATAGGCATCGATTGCAAAATCAAAGATTTTAGAAAATTTAAAATTGGACACTGTTATTTCAGAGATTTTTTTTTCCAAATTGTTATTAATTTAATTACAGTAAAGAGTTAAAATTTTATGATTCAGTGAATTGAAATTTAAAAAAAAAAAAGTATTACTAAACCTGTAGTGGGAAGAAATGGTGATATCTTGGTGGAAAATTGAAAATTGAAATAACTTGACAGTGACGATGCAACTGTTGTTAATTCCAGTTCTTCGATATTTGAATTTGTAATTCTATTATCGGTAAAAGTATTAGTATCAGTTGTTAGTGCTATTCCACCATTTGCTGCTATCAAACACTACAATTATTATTTAACGAAATTTTGAAACTATTCAAAAAAAAGAAGAAAATATAATTTCGTCCATTTTCTTCTTTTTTTTTTTTTAAAAAAAAAAAGAAGGAATGAAATAATTTTTCTTGAAAAGAATGTAAAGTTTTATTCAAGTATACAAGTCAAAAATATTACAAAAAATATAATTCCTTCAAATTTATTTAAACAAATTATTATTTGTTTGCTTCCTAAAATAATTAATAGTATTATTTCCTTTCAAATAGTATTGCAAATTTCGAAAGTTTTTGATACAAATATTTTTTATTATTGTTTATTTAAAAAAAAAAAAAACTACAACAAAAGAGAAATTACATTCTCAGGTATTCTAGAGCATCTATTACTTGTCACATCCTGATATTTTGCTGCAGGTCGTCTGCAAATTTCACGTGGAAAGTTGCATACGTATGGTTTACAATCTCGTAAAGCAACTGCAGACCATTTATTATCTGAGAGAAAATCTTCACCTATAATTTGAATTAGATTATTATTATTATTATTATTATTACATTTCTAATGTTAAAAGATAAAAAAGTAATTGATACATGCAAACGCAACAGGCATGCATTTGCACTACAGTTGATATGCATGCAAGGATGCATGCAATCTAAGTTGCATAAGAATGCATTCAACGATATGTTTTATTTTGCAGTGTTTTTCAATCTTTAAGTTATCACATTTAAATTATTATATTTAAGTTTTTTTTAAATTATCATATTAGTCTATTACAAATAAATAAAAAAGAAATTTAGAAAATTTGTTAATTCCAGAAAGAAACAAAATAAAAAATGAAACAAATAATTATAAGTGAGAAAAAAATTTTTTATTAGTAAACAACAAATAAACTAACATTCTACATGTTCAAATAACATTTCGAGAAATGAGTCAAAATCATTTGGAAATGGTAATGCATCAATTGTGTTCTGAGAATTCATCGATCCAATCATCATTATCATCATCACCATCATCATCATCATCATCATCATCATTACTATTATTATCGCTATCATTAATATTGTTTTTAATACAGTTATGAGTAATATTATTCGTTTGTATTACCAATGTTAAATATCATATTATCATTTATTTCATTATTTAGGAAATACAACTCTAATAATAACTATCAGTAATAATAACAATAATAATAACAATAAATAAATAAATAAGAATAAATAAGTAATTTTTTTTATTTATTATTATATTATTATTGTTTTACTAATGTTTAATTTGTAAATAAACTACAATAAATAATAAGTAAATAAACAAATAATAAATAAGGAAAAAATAAACAAATAAATGAATACACGGTAAATAATAAATAATTTCATGTATAAATTCGACATGATTAGTTAGCAAAGATGGCTACATCACGAAATATAAACAGAATTTTTGACTACCTTTGTTGGAAAAATGTAGTTTGAAATAAAATCTTCTCTCCCTCTCTCTCCCTCTCTCTCTCTCTGTCTCTCCCTCTCTCTCTCTTATCTAACTGACATATGTGTATGCATACACATACGTACGTACGTCATAAAATCCTGTTTTGAAAGATGATTATTGAGCAATTCATTCATTAATTACACCTTTATTAACATTGCACAGGTAGACGACGATATTTTGTTGTATGCTTGGTTAATTATATACTTTTCAATTCATTTCATTGTGTATTTTATAGCAAAAAAAGATAAAAATTTGAAAAAAAAAAGGAAAATAACAATAAAGTAGAGAAGACAAAGAAGAAGAGAAAAGAAGGAAGAATAGAATAATGAGAGAGAAAAAGAGTGAAAAGGAAAAGAAAAATTGAAAAAGAAAAAAAAAACGAAATTTGCAAAAAAAAGATACAATTTTATTTAAAGCAAATTTCCTTTCGTAATTGTATCACTTCGTTTTTTTCTCTTTTTTATTCTTTCATTTAGATCATTTCTTCATTTCTTTGCTATTATTTATCTTTTCCTTCCCTCTCTCTCCCTCTCCCTCTCTCTCTCTCTCTCTCTCTCTCTTCACCTTCACCTCATTTATCATTTCCCTTAAATTTTATTTTTGCAATGTAATTAATCTATAATTATTTAATTAATTTCATTTATTTTAAAATAAAAATACTATTATTAGAATCAATTAAATATTAAAATTTCCTTTTCTTTTTCCTCTTTTTTGTCTCTTTTTTTCCATCTTTATAAGTTATCAATTTTCATTTCATAACATAAATAATCAGAATTTTTTTTTTTTTTGTTTAAATTGAAATGAATGGAAATGAATTGAAATGAATGGAAATGAATTGAAATGAATTATTGAAATGAATTATCAATGAAAATTTCACACAATCAAAGCGATTATAACAAATGGGAACAATGGAGAAAATTCACGAAAATATATTTATTAATTTCTGTAAACATAATAATGTCCTCTTTACCCTTTATTACTTCATTCCTCTTTCCTTCTTCCTTCCTCTCCTCCTCCTCCTTTTCCTTCTTCCTTCCTCTCCTCCTCCTCCTTTTCTTCTTCATCCTCTTTCCTCCTCCTTTTCTTCTTCCTTCCTCTCCTCCTCCTCCTTTCCTTCTTCCTTCCTCTTTCCTCCTCCTTTTCTTCTTCCTTCCTCTCCTCCTCCTCCTCCTTTTCCTCTTTCTTCTTCCCTTCCTCTTTCTCTTTCCATTCTTTTTCTTACAGATACAAAACAGATTCACAGATTAATTCTATTGATATTTCATTTTTCTAAAATTTATCGAATCATTTAAATTACTCATTTATAAAAACCTTCTTTTTTTCTTTCTCTCTCTCTCTCTCTCTCCCCTTTTTTATATTTTACTCTAACTTATAAAATGATTTATTAAAATATTAAATTCTTGTTTATTCATTAATTTTTTCTTTTCAGAACAAAAGTTCAACTTTAAACATGACACTTAATTTCTTGAAAAAATTAATTCGTTATTTTTTTTTTTTGAAAATTCTATTTCTTAAAAATTCTTTTCTCATTTTTTAATCGCTAAATTTTTATGTATTTGATTGATTACGGATTCAATATCGTGAAAGATTGATTTAATATTGTTTTCGAGAATAAAAATCAAATCAAATTGATCCCATTTCCCTGCTTACCTCTTTCTTATCTTTCATGTTTTTTTTCTTTTTTTTTTTTAAATTTATTGAATTTCTTGGCCGTTTCTTTTTTATTTTTTTATTTTTTCTAATTTTTGTGTCATAAATTCATTTCCAAGCATTCCGGACATTTTCTTTTTTATGCTATTTTAAATTTGTCCAATTTCTTTTCTTTTTTTTTTCAAACTTTCATAATGATTTGCGTTAAAATTGTAAATGATTATAAGGCAATTATTTAAAGATTTGTTTGAAACGACAGAATTATAGAAAAAATTATTATCAATTTAAAAATCTTCGAAATACTCTCATTTAAATTATCCATTCCTCTATACTCAAATTTAATAATACTAATAATATTGGCAATGAATTTAATATAAAAACTTTGAATTTAATTTGAAACTTTGTTTGAAATTAATAATATCAAAAAAAAAAAACAACTAGAAAAAGAAGGAAAGAAGCACTGTTAATAATACAAATATTAAAAGATAGAATTTATAATTTGTCATATTTTCATTTCAAAGAGAAAAAAAAAAACAAAATCAACTTTTTCTCTCTAAAAATTTTATTATATATAAAGAAAATAAAAAAATATATATATAAATAAAGTGTTCTCACTCATGATGAACAACTGAAAAAGGGAAATATTGAAAATTAAATGAGAGCAGTAAAATGTTCGATGACATTGACATGTACCCTTAAAATGTTATTGAAAAAAAGAAGGAAAAAATTTTTGGAAAGAAAATTAAACAAAAATTTATGTTTTCTTAAATAATTCCACTAATTGTATCAGTAATATATCGTTTCATTTGATTGACAATCATTTCATTTCATTTGCAAATTAAATAAAACGAAATAATAAAAAAGAGAAAAAAGAAGGAAAAGAAAAATATTATGATTGATATTTTTCTCGAAAAAAATTATAATTTGAAAAATGAAAGTAACTCATTCAATACTTCAAGAGAACTTCTATCTTAATGATACATTTATAAAATTTAGAAAACCAATTTAATAAAATATCATTCTATTGCAAAATTAAAAATAGCATTTATTTTATATATAAACGAGTAAATATAAACGAATAAACAAAAAGGAGAAAAATTAGGTCAGTAAATTTGGAAGATCAAAATTCAAAAGTTCAAATTTGGCATTTATTTCATTTAAAATTCGTTTAGTCAGAAAAAAACAAAACAAAACAAAACGAAAAGGAAAAACCATAATTTAATCATACTTGTAAAAATCATTATTAAATTACTTTTCATCATTTTCTTTTGCACATAACTCTAAATTCTATTTTGAACAAAAATTTATTGTAAACATTATGTTCTTCCAACTACAAAAAATTTAAATTTATCAATTTAAAAAAAAAAAAAAAAAAGAAAAAAACTTTTCCTGTTTCTTCAAAGTATGACACCATCATCCTTTTTTTTTGTCTTTCATTTTTTCTCATTTTTTAAAACAAAATAAAAGTGATTTCACGAAAAAAAAATTGCGCCAAATACAACAGTGGTCAAAGAATGATCCCGAAAAATTCAAAATATAATCCAAGATTAATTTGTTTTCAATTTATATAAAATTAATTAATCAGCTTGAACTTTAATGATTTTAAATCAAATAAATTAAAACAATAGCAAAAGAAAAAAAAACGAAATATGATTATAATCACTAGAAAAAAAAATTGTTTTAGCATTAGAAAATAAAAAATGAAACTAATAACAAATATTCTCTTATTTGAATTTGAATAATTTACTTTCAGCTTGTGTTTATTTCACTCTCTTAAATGCTTAATAAGTGACCATTCGTCGATTTTAAAGATATCTTATTAAGCAAAAATTAATTTGAAAAATTTAAATGCTTATAATATGAAACATTTCCATCAGTCCAGCAAAATGTATATTAATCGTATGAATGCATTTAAGAATGAATTTAAAAAAGTAAAAAGCAAAACTGAAATAACTTTAAAAGAAATAAAATTATACCAAATAGTTTTGCCAAAAGTGTAACATCTCTATCAAGAATAAAATTAAGGATTAAACGAAAACATTCAAATATATTTTAAATTCAAAAATAAAAGTTTACAAGCAGTTAAGTTTTATAAACAACAAACTATTGAAAAAAAAAAAAATGAAGAATAAACTGCTAATATATTTAAGCCTGTTATTTGAGAGAAAACAACAGATTTTATAATAAAAGAACTAATTAATAGTAAATTTATGTTTTAAAATTCATTCTTAAATGCATTCATACGACTAATGTTGATTTTGCTGGACTGATGGAAATGTTTCGTATTGTACAAAAATTAATTTGAAAAATTTAAATTGAAAAATTTAATGATTGTTTCAACGACTCGAAGACCCAAAACTGCATCCTGTCCACTTTTTTCTTTTATATTTACTTTCATTTCTGGAGTTTTCTGCGCTTCAGCTGCCACTTCCAGTTCTTTCTCCTCAGTACATGGCAAATGATACCCTTTTCCCGTTAATATACTCTTTCGAGTAATCAACCTGAAAACAATTTATTGAATAAATCCTTAAGCCACAGTTTTAAGAGTTTACTGAGTCACTGTCTAAGAAAAAAGTCTATATGTTAACTATAAAGTGTTTTATTCGGTTAGTTTATAAATTAATTCTGAGTGGGAATTTCTGAAAATCATCATCAACCCAACCATTTGACATGATCTAATTCCAGGTGAACAAAATTCGTCCATAAACTGCATTCTGTAGGATTCAACCGAATCCCCTCTTGCATTATACAACGTGCGCACTCTATTCTATGTTCGACTGAATATTCAAATCGAGCCGCTTGAATTCGTAAAGCAGAATTCCTTGGAAAGAGCTGGAACATATAATTTCATAAACTGGAACATATAATTTATTTGACGTTATATTCTGATCAGTCTAATTAAGACCACGTAATAAAAGTAATCATTTCTGACGCCGTGAGTAATTATTTACTTTCACGAAGGCCTAATTTTAATTCGCGCTTTACAAATTTACTAACCCTTGATTCTGCCCTTACAAAAAGAGATTCCTTTCAGAAACTTACCTGCATTGCGCGGAAATACGCTTTACTGCATCGGATATACATTTTCTCTTCCTTCAAAAATCCGATCAAATCAAACCAAAGCTCTGCCCGCCCCTGCAATCAAATGATCAGAGAAACCTAACAAGTTAATATGTTTTCATATTAACTTGTTAGGTTTCTCTGAACATAAACTGCACGTCATTTGAAAATATGAAGTTAAGTTAATATCAAAATATCAGCTATCATTTCAACAAATTATCGAATTTTTTCAGTTTTCAAAATTTGGCAGACATACCTATATTATAAAAAAGACTACACCAAAGTATACTCCTATTAAACAAAAAATGAAAAACCTGAAATCGTTCACAAACTGTCGCAGCAGATTGGCAACTTTGATGATGATTTTGCCTTCAATTTCATCTTCTCTCAACCTGTAATTCAATCGTTTCCGCCGCATTCGAACAAGCTTCATAATCGATCCCAAATAATCGGTATATCCTTTGAACGACGATGGATCTTTCCGCTGAAAATAATACGCATTGATTGGTACTTTCACCAAACACTAAATGATGCTAATGTTATAAAATTCCAATGAGTACCCAAAAATCAACTCTCTCTCTCTTGGACATTTGACGGACATACAGCATCAACTTATAGTAATACTTCAGGCTTTACACTGCGACATTTAAGCACTTCCACTGCGAAATCCAAACTAATTTAACAAATCCTGACAAATTCAGCAAGAAAGTCATTGTGATTAATAGTATAGCATAAGTTAAGTTGTCGAAGAAAAAGTTCTTACAGGCTTTTGAAGAAGATATTCGAAGAACTGGCAACGTTTGACAAATGCATCAATTTCAGTAGGTGATAATAACTGAACATCTTTTAATGTCTCGAAAACAGGAAGCAAACCTTCGATATATTCTTCCACAAATTCACTCATTCTTCACCCAGTGATCGGCACAAAAAAATAATTTCGTATTATTCTCGAAAGAACTACCATTGAAATTACCTCATATAAGATAATAGAAAAAGTAAAGATGATCCTACAAGTTACTGGTTATGCATAGAGTAAGATTAGTCCTATTTGAATCATCTTGATAATTTCAATCATTATCTAAGCAATTCTGGATTATCAACTAAAATAAAGGCAATATTTTAATAACATTTACTAGATTATATTTATGACGTTCCCGTGGAAAGAATTTCTCGGACAAATTCATTTATTTCTCAATAAAATATATATTAATGAATGAATCTAGACATTACCACACAATACAAACACCCCACCGAACAATATACGACCAAAACCAACAAAACACTACCACACCATTAACCCCTCAATTCCAACATTAAGCTAAAATTCCTCAAATGCAATATTTTTGAATTTAACGCGGTCCATTATGCTCTGAAAGCATCTCCGAAACTCTTCAATTTTATATAATTCTTCCGATCACTAGTGTAAAGGGTTTATTAGGGTTTATTATAGGAAGGAACTGCATAATTGAAGAGTATATAAGTAAATAGTATAACGGAAAATATCATGCCAAAATTATGAATTTGTTTGCGTCATTACGAGAGATCACGGATATATTACGTGATTATAAGCTGACGTAAGTGGTTTTTTTAACACAAGTATTTATTTCTCTTTTAAATCATTTCAGTTTCTTAATATTGTGATTTCAATGTGTTGAGAATGACTTCTAGTAGTACAGTATCAGTAACAATTTAGCGCTATGTGAACTATACGTGATAATTTCATGAAATTCGGATTCAAAATTTTTATGAACAAATGTAACTTAGATTAACGCTGTTAATATTGTAATAGGAATTCTGGATTTTAGCATAAGTTTATTTCAGTTCACACATTCATTGATTGCATTATCACAAGTAAAATTGTAAGTTGGTTAGAAAATCATATGGTATATCAAGTACATCAGCAATTATTAAAATTATCATTATTATTTGGTATATAGAAGTGATCTGTTAGCTAGAGTGATGATGTGTTAGTATCAGTCTTTGATATTCCCGCTTTACCAGAATTTCATTTCGTCTTTGTCATAAATTCTGCAACTTTATCGGCGATATGTAATTCCTTGATTACGCTTCATTCCTCTTCTTCGTCTGTAATTATCGCGAAATATCGCTTGGTGGAATTTTTGCTCAGAATCTGTTTCATCTGATTCGTTACAATCATCATCATCATCCTCACCATCATCACTGTCATCGTCATCGTCGTCGTCGTCCAATACATCAAAATTTGTCCCTATATATTAATGATGTATAAGTAAATTCGATATTTTTGTTCCTATTCTAGCTTTAGTTATAATTTCTTGTCTGTTTTTTAATGAAGAAATATTAATTTCGTATATTTGTACGTTCTCATCGACGTATATTTCATCTACGTATAGCACGCAAACGTAAAATATTAGGTAGAATGATTTCTTATTTCTGTATTAAAATTTTTAATTTTTTAAGAGTTGTAATCTTATTATCAAAATATTATAGTTTGTTAATTTTCGTCTATATGATAACTTGCCGCCAGTATTTTCGACTGTTATTTCGTTGCTATCATCATAATCATCACTAGTTGCATCACTTGTTGAATATAATTCACTCTTTTCATTACTATAGTCTCTTGATTCACTTTCCGTATCCGAATCACCATAAGCATCTTGAATAAGCGTTGATTCGGAATTTCTAATTTTGCTGCATCCAGTTTCTATTTTCATATTACCTTGCTCCAAACATCCGCTTAGATGACATTTCGATACATCAGTCTCATTCTTTAATTGTCTTGAACTACTACTACCAGCTTCTTCTGAACGTGAAACATTTAAATTTGTTTGTCCTACAAAATGCTGTGCATTTTCTGGTTTGTTTTCGCAGAATGGACAAAACCGGTCATTTTCCGGGATTCGCTCCAGTTTCTCCGGTAAGCAATAGCAATGATAGGCGACATTACAGCAAATCGTAGAACCATCAGCATTTTGACCAATGTTTCCGTCGCAGAGTAGCAGTAAATGTTCATTATCTGAACTTCTGCATGATCGGCAGTTTGCATATTCAATGGTAATATCTTCATTTGAAGGGCCGCCTTGATCATTTTCCAGTTGTTCTTGGGCAAGAAGCTTGAAAATTCAAAAATTTTGCAAAATTTTAAGCAAAAATGAAAAAAGATTTCAAAATAATTAACAACAAATAACATTGTTAATTCTTTATAGAATATGTTGCAACAAATGATTGTAATATTTCTTTTTTCTGAAAATTTAGAACAGAATTATGTCAAAAGGGATAAGACTCTAAAGGATAGATTTGAAATTCAAATTTTTTAAAAAATTACAATGAAGCTTGAAAGACTTCTGTTTATACAGAATAACATTATGAATTTTCACCTTTCCTCCAATTCAATCAAATTTCTTCTGATTTAAAAGCTTAATTTTAACTGCTTGGTAAATTCTAGGTTAAAAATTTCATATATGGTCCTAGACTAGAATCTTTATATAAAGACAGGTAAAGTGGAATATTTTCATGACCGTGTCCGGAAAAATTGTTTAAAATATTGAATTAATCAAACAAAGGACCATTTCACTATAATAATAACAATCATCATGTTAAATAAGTTTAAAAAAATTAATGATATAGACAATCAAATTAAAATATTTCATAGTGATGATATATTAATGATAACACTGATAACCTCATTTTTAAATTGTTCCTTTGTTCTTTTTTTTACTGGCACTTTTCTTTCATTTTTTGTTTCTTCAATTTTAATTAGATATTTTGGCTCTCCACCACAAAGTGGGCATTGTGATCGCTTTTTTAACCAATCGCGAATACATTTAAAACAGAATTTGTGCTTACAATTATCTGGTCTTCCAAGCGGATATTTTAATTGTTCCAAACATATGGCACAATTTGATTCCATTTTTTTTTTTTCTTTTTTTAAAAAAGTCTTGTTAGAATAACACTCCTTTTAATCGTCTGCAAAACTAACACTTCCAGTGGTTATGCGAACTCTTCACTAACAGATCCTGTAGCTAATACTAACTGATAAAATAATAAAATGATTATTTATAGTAAAGAAAATTTTTGAAAAATTTGCATATGCAAAAAATGTATTTAAAAAAATGGGAAAATTTATTGTGTTGAGAGGCATTTTAAAAAAGATGAAAGGACATAATTTCAATGAAAATTTATGAACTAAAAAAATTTCTTTCAACACAAGCAATAATTATAGCAATAAATTACTAAAGCAAATAGAACTAACTTTTAAAAAAAGATGAAAAAAAAGCAGGCAATAAGCAAAATAATATCACTCAAATAAAATTAATAGTTTAACAATGAGTTTTATATCAAAATGTGCAATAAATATGCTCAATAAAAAAAGCATGCAGTTGCGCGTAGTTAGCAAAAAAAGCATGCAGCAAAGAAAGCTAACCACCTGCTATTTTTTTTGCATGACCGATTAGAAATTAATTGCTGCTACAAAAAATAAATGATTTTGTGATACTAATTTTTACTTTCACAATAAATAATTGCTTTTTTTTTTCCTTATAATAATAAATAAATAAAACAAATATAATATGCCACAGATTATATAAACTTTTTTCTTTCATTCAAAGTAATTTTTCCAAGCGCAACTAAATTTGATAAAAATGAATACTTTTTCAAACTGCAATTAAATTTTATAAAATCTTGGAAAAGAAAAACTTTCAGGATGTAATTTTTTCAGGATGTGATTTCATCAAAATTGTCAATTAATCAAATCATTGGCTACTTTTTTTATATTTAGTAATAAATACAAAATTATTAGAAATAATTACTAAAACCGCACTTAAATTGTTTAATTTGTTAAATATTTGATTTAAGTTTTGTCGTTTTGACTTTCAAATTAGCTAAGTTTGATAGTTAATTAGATTAGATAATTAAATTATTTCCAATAAAAAACGAGGTAAAATATATCAAATGCTTCTGATTTGTTATTTCTGTTTGTTTGTTTGTTTTAGATGTTAAATCTGTGTATTTTGCAATTATTTATTCAATTACATGCAATGTAAACACATATAAAATTTACTAATTATTCGTAACATTGAAGAAAAAATTTGATAATTATTGAAATAATCGTCATCGATAATTATTAAAATTATTCATTAAAATAATCATTGAGATCATTCGATAACTATTAATTAAATAATTATTTAGTAATTACTGAAATATTTATTTAGTATTATTCATTGAAATTCAATAATTTTTGTCTAATTATTGGAATGAAGTTTAACATAAATAACGATTAATATGATTTGAGATTTTCAAATCCATTGGTTCACCAATCATGAAATAAATCGATTTCTTCTTATGATGGTATCTAAAAATTAACATTTTGAGAATGAGTTCAACATCTTATCAGTAACATTCATTACCATGTATCACATACTTATCCAAAATAGCATTTTTTTTCCTCCATAAAAAATTTTTTCTCATTATTGTCTCATTTTTATATACTGAACAATTGTAATTAAAAATTTGCGAGTGATAATAAGTTAGTTAATTATATCTTAATATGTTTATTTTGAGCTAAAAATTTTAAAGATTAATTGAAATGTAAGCATAAGATAATTCCCAAATGAAATAAAGTGATAGATTTAATTTTTTACTAGCTAGTGTTAACACACTATAGCTTGTTTATTTTTCTTTTCTTTTAGCAATAAAAGTGAATTTTATTGTTACATGAAGTTCTGGAATATTTTACAATCTCTTTAATTAATGGTGAGATAAATGATTCATTAATCGATGATAATTGTTCAAAGATTTCATGAAGCTCTATTTTTTTCTTTTAATATATGTATATATTTTTTCAACATTTCCAATGAGAGCATATTATTTTTTACTTCAAATTTTTGATTACAGAAGGGACATTATAACAATCCAGCAGTTATCAGGCGAACTTATCGAATAACCGGTCGTATTACTAATGGTGATATTGAAAATTTGCAGTCACCGATGATCATTCATCACTGTCAACATCGAACTGTTTTTGAACTTAATGAAGCTTCCAGATCTATGGAACGAGAACAATGGCATAGATACAAACGAGGTTAGACGTTACTTAAGATTGAATAGCTGATATTTTTAATAGAAGAAAGTTGAAAATGCACAGTCAGTTATTAAAAGAACTTTGCACTTCAAAGTTTGTTCTAAAAATTGTTCATGAAGGACAAAGTATTACCGTATAATTGAAATGACTGGAAATTTGTAAATTTAATCAATTTCATGCTAATTCTTTTTTTTCTCATTACTTGAAATCTCAAAATTCCAAAACATTCATTTTAAAACTTACTTGCGGTAAGCCTATTATATTACTAATGATGCGTAATTTCTTTCTAAGTAAATTTCACTTCTAGAAGTGTTTGAATCACTACAATTTGCCGTTCTCAGTGGTCAAGCAGTTGAAATGGATAAAATTATAATTAAGTGAAAGGAATACTATGTGTCTGAATCTGCTCTGAAAAATGATCGAAAATCATGACATTTGATTCGTTAAACCTTGTTGTGCATTCTTGTTTCATTTCTCGAGCTTCTTTTTCTAACTTTAAAGAGAAGATGGATCAAAGATTGTCATCCTAATGCACATATTAAATATGGCAGCAATAACAATAGTTATTGAATTGAGTGATATTTGTTCTGATAGTTTTTTTATAATATTACAAGCTTTGAATTATAGCATAAATAACGGCTCTTCTGGAATATTTTTAATTTTAACCAAAGTGAATGAAATTACGAAAATGAAAAAAAAATTATGTTTGCTTTGTGATTTTAAAATAAGTTTTGAAAAGAAATATAGGAAAATGAATTTTCTCACTGAATGTTCACATTTTCATGCAACGTAATTGATGCTATGATTTCATTATATCAAAATATTTAATTTATTTTTTGAGTTATAGCATGAATAACAGCTCATCTGGAATTTTTTTTAATTTTAACCGAAGTGAATGAAATTAGGAGAATTTAAAAAAAAAGAATCATACTTATTTATCTAAATGTTACGTATATGCTAATAGTAATAGTAAAAATTATACAACAGAAGAAGTTCTTTCAACAGATTTATTAAAAAAAAAAAAAAAAAACTTCAAATTTTCATATTCTTTCATGCAATCGAATGATAATGATAAAGGTCAATTTAATTGACGAAAGAAACTAATTATTATTTAAATTCTGGCTTACAAGTTTTGTTGTACTGATTTATATTATCTGCGGATAATATTTGAAATGTTTTATGCTTCTCAGTCCATTTGGTAAACATACAAATGAATCATAACAAGAATTTAACAGTCAATTCACTTCTATAATCTGACACTGTGAATTAATCATTATAACAAATTTTATGTGATGCAAGTAACTACTTCTGATTTAGCAGTAAATATCTCAAGTAATTGGTGCGGAGTTGTTGGTGGGGAAGATGAAATTTTAATTTCATAGAAAATAATGAAATTGAAATTATATTTTTAGATTGCAGGAAGTGCTTTATTTAAATGCAATTAGATAAAGAAATTCTCCTGTTTAAGTGAATCACTCTAGGTTTCTGCATAAAACAAATCAGTGCGAAGCATATTCAGTCACATCGTAAAATTAATTAGATCATATTCAAGTTCCAAGTCAAATTGATGTTGTCTATATCACATTTAGATTAAATAAGATAGTAATGAATTTTTATATAATGAATTTTTCTAGTGGATATTTGTAAAATTCCACAATATTCGGCTGTTGTTTCATTATTTTTTTAATATCAACGTAACCATTGGAATTAACCCAGTAATTGTTCGAATTGATTCATTTAACTAAAAAACGAATTTAAATTCATGACATCAGATATAGCACCATTCTTCTCTTTTAAACGCAGTATCTGTTTTTCATAACTGCTCAACTTTATCACTCGTTCCATCTCAAATTACATTAATTCTCGATGCAGAAAGGACGCAGAATCGTTGCAACATAATTCCAGTCAAAATTTTGTCAAAATTTTCATTTGCCTTGAGACTATTAATTATTCTGCAGCATAGTTTTCCCTGTTAATGTTTATTTTCCCTTTTGGAGTGTTACTTTATTCGATTCAAAATAAATGCCTCAGTAATAACTATTAAATATTGGCCTCGTGGAATGAAATTTTTATGATGAGTGATATTTTGGTGTTATTTTCTTTCTAATCTAGAAAAGCAGTGACATCAACTCAGCAGATGGAATGCAATTGTTAGATATTGTCCATGGTACTTCTGGTACCAGAAGTACCATGGACAAAAAAAATAAAAAAATTTAAATTTTATAAATTTAAAAAAAAATTTAAAAAATAAAAAATTTTTTAAAAAAAAAAAAAATTAAAAAAAAAAAAAAAAATTTAAAAAAATAAAAAAATTTAAATTTTTCAAATTAATTTTTGCTTAATCAGATATCTTTGAAGATGACGAATGATCACTTACTAAGCATTTAAGGGAATGAAATAAAGATAAACTAAAAGTAAATTATTCAAATTCAAATAAGAGAATATTTGATAATGATTAATTAATTTCATATTAAATGAAAGCCAGAAGTCAGTTGTAAATTAATCTTGGATGATATCTTCAATTATTCGGGAACATTCTTTGATCAATGTTATATTTTTTCAATTTTTTGTAAATGGAAATTTTCAAATAATTTAGCTCGGAAAATTAGGTACAAATGATAGTGCTATGAAGCGGAGTATTCCTTATTACGGAGAACCAACTAAAGTATTACTTATGATAAGTTATCATAAATGATTAGTAGAAAGGAAAAGAATTAAAAAGTGAAAAATCCAAAAAGAAATTTGATATTTATTGCTAATTGCTAAAAAGTAGTTTTGTAAGTTCAATAAAAATTGACCTAAACAACAAAAGATAAGAATTATATCATAAAAATTTAATAGATAGTGCTGCATTCCTATTTAATATATATTTAAAAATTAAATGAAAACTTCAGATATGCTTTTTTGAATTCAAATGAAAAGAAAAATTATTCAATAAATTGGAAAGTTAAAAAAATCAGTTTCTGTAATTAATATATTAATTATAGCAATTTAACCAATTTTAAAATATTTCAAACAATGTGCTGAATTTTATTTTTCTAATAATTTTACTAATTTGTTAATTTTAAAATAACAGAATATTGATAAAATTAATTCATATATAAAAAACTAATAAGTATGCAGTAAACGACATCTTCTTATCTTATCAATTATCATCACAGATAACACTTCATCTCTTTATCATTTATCAATGACGAGTTCAAAATTATCAAATTTTTAAAATATCAAATTATCAAAAATTTCCAAAATTAGGCAGAGCTAAAAAAGACACTTTGAACCTTTTCGATTTATCACTTATCAATGATAAGCTCAAATTTATAAATTCTGACGAAAGAAATAGAGCTGCAAAAGATAATTTACATCCTACAGCTAAGTCCATTTGTAGTTTTTCCTGAATTGCATGGAATAAATAGCCAAAACATTGAGAGAAAGAGAGAAAAAAGGGAGTACGAAATAGGAAGAAGGACAGAGAGTGCGAGTGTGTGCATAAAAAGCATTGCAAAAAGAATATTAGACAAAAAAGATATCATTTGAATTTTTTAAACAAATTTGATTTATGAAAAGTATTTTTAATAATAGTGAAAAATATTTGTAGCATAAAGATAACAGAGTGAGAGGAAAAACAGGTATGAATAGACAAGACAACAAAAATGAGTGGCGTAAAAGGGCTGTAAAAGGGATGAGATTAGACGAAATGCAAAAATGAAATAGTGTGGTGCGGGCATAAGGATGAATGATAAGATAGTCTACGAATAGTTTATTGGTTTTTGGCATTGCGCCCCTGAAACCTTGTGAAATGGAATTTGAGTGAATTTCTAGGTGGCAACGATGAATATCAGTGTATTTGTATTTGGTGCAGGATGATGTACGGGTTGTTTGGGTAAGTTGGTTTCCCGGTGAGTGGCGGTTAAGCAGATTGTTTGGGTAAGTTGGTTTCCCGGTGAGTGGCGGTTAAGCAGATTGTTTGGGTCGGTAAGTTGGTTTCCCGGTGAGTGAAGGGTAGGCAGGTTGTTTGAGCAGTTTGGTTTTCCGGTTAGTGGTGGGTGAGCGAATTGTTTGGGCAGGTTGGTTTCCTGTAGGTGACGGTTAAGTGGATTGTTTGGGTGAGTTGGTTTGCATGAGAAATCTGTAAAACGAATGAATTGCGAGTTTGATTTGCAAGAAATTGTTGCACTGTTTATAGCCAGTATGCCCAAATGTTTGATTAAATGAGACTATGAGTTTTTTTTTTTTTTTTTGAGGGGGCGGGGGGTAACACTTTTTTGTTATGTTACTGAACAATAGGAAATTGGGTAAATAGGCGTTTTGGTTCTCAAGAAGCATCTTTTATCTCTTTCTTCATACTCTCTTTCTTCGAACTAGCAAATATTAAAGAAATGCCGAAAGTTCTGGTTTTCTGCTTTTCTAAAATTAAAAACTTGTAGTCTTGGATTTTTTTGCGAATTTTTTATTGATGAAGGTTTGTTTTACACTGCATTTTTTTTTTTTTTTTTCAGAGCTCATTTTAATGGACCATTTACAAGCGTTAATTGATCCAAGCAAACAATTCGCGAAAGATTCAATTCGATTGGTGAAAAGGTGCACAAAACCAGATCGAAAAGGTAATATACTTAGATAGACTTAGATTTAATTGATCACATTTCTCATCCAGATCTTTGAGGTGTATGTGTCAGTTTGATTTAATTTACTGTTTTGGGGATTGTTTGTTGGCATTTTTTACACAGTGCTAACTCCTGTGCATTTACATTATAGTCTTTGTTGATTAATGATGACGTGGCATAACATTGCTAAGGCCTTAAATTATACAGTTTTTTTTTTGGTGATGCTGGGAAATTTTTATTTTAATCATAAACTATAGTATTAAATGTGAATGCGTTGAATAAGGCGGTTGAAATTCGTTAATGATACCGTAAAATTGAATTACTGATATCTAATTTTATTTCAAATGGCTGCAAATGAGTGTTTCAGAATATCAAAAAATTGCGGTAGCAACAGCAGTTGGTTTTGCCATAATGGGTTTTATCGGTTTCTTCGTCAAGCTTATCCACATTCCAATTAATAATATCATCGTTGGCGGATAATATAAATTTTTTGATAGGTTTATTAAACACACATATAATGAAGTAGTGTGATTAAAATGATATTCTATGCGAGAGTTACCAATAATTTATGTTATACAATGTGTTTGACAGTTGTATCATATCTTTGTTTCTTTTTTTATTTATTTTCTCACAGTGTTTGTGTTATATAATGATGAATTGATTAAAATAGATGTTTGAAATTTCAAATAAATTATTTCGAATCAGTAAAGTTAGTCGTTTTGTCTACTTTTTTAATTAATGAATTTTAAATAATGTTTTTTTTTTTTTACACCGAAATTCTGAGAGGTATAACTTGCTGCTTTCCCAAAATAAAAAATGGGAGATTTATTGATAAAGATGATGATTTATGATTGAAGAATTAAGACCTTCCTTTTTCCTTCATGTTATTTTTCCTCTGAAACAAATGAAATGATGCGGTTATTTCCTTGATTGGTGGAGGATTGCAACATTTTTTGTAGTTGAAGTATTTTGAACAACAAAAGCGGTAACTTAGCTTTCCTTACTTTTGGTATTTAACTGTCGTAGTAGTTGAATGCTACGTAAATAGTGTCATTATTTCAACTTTCCCATTCAACTCTTCCAGGAAAAGCTATATGATCCTATCTTATATACATATACAATCCGGTCACTACCGAAAGGTATACAACATTTTTGGACCGGATAAACCTGGTGAGTAGTAATGCTGTGATGGTCGAATTATTTGTTAAATATTATAAGAATTGCTGTTAATACATGAGAGGAGAGTTTTATAATTTTTTTTTTTTTTGAAAATCTAATCAAAATTATTGTAGGAAAATGACGCCTGTGGTCATTTGCCTTTCTGGTAAACGAAAATGTGGTAAAGATTTTGTTGGAAGTTTGTTGGCTAATCGGTTAGAAAGAATTGGTTATAAAGTTATCATTTGTGGTATAAGTTATCCACTAAAAGAGGAATATGCCCAGTTGAATGGTATTGATGCTGAACGATTGAAATATGATGCACAGTACAAGGAGATATATCGTCAAGATATGATTTCATGGGGTGAAGGGATACGAAGCAATGATTCTGGATATTTTTGCAGGTTAATCGGAATGGAAAATTACTTCCGTATATTGTTTAACAATTAATAAAATAGAAAATAAAATAGAAAATCCTAGATTTTACTTCTATTTTTATGTGATAAAAACAAAAACAAAAAAAAACATATAATTCTGATGGATGAAATTTTTCTGGAATTAAACTTCAAATATTTACGAAAGATTGAATAACTGAATCATTTTCAGGAAAGTTTTAGCAAAAGCAAATTCAGTTGATGTATTAATTGTGACTGATTGTCGACGACTTTCTGATGTTGAATTTTTTAAGATACATTGTGGTCCTCGTTTAAGGTTATATAATCTTATATAATCATCTATTATTATTTCTCATTAGAATATGATTTATATCATTAATTTATATGTTGAACAAAATGTTATTTTTTTCAGATTAGCTTAATTGGCATTGTTTTCTTTTTTTTTTTTTTTTTTGATTAATTAGGTTAAATTTATCCTAGAAATTTTCTTTTATTTTTATGCAAGCAAAAAACATTTTTCGTAGGTCTAATAATTTACAGATTGTTACGTATCGAAACAACTTTACCAGTCCGGGAAATGCGTGGTTTTGTATTTATCAAGGGAATTGATGATCAAATGACTGAGTGTGGTCTCGACGATTATACTGATTGGGATATTGTAATTACCAATGATGTTCAAATTGTAAATGGAATATTACCAACTAATTTAGAAGAATGCTTAACTGATCTTTCTTTTGAGATAAGTCAATTATTGTTGAGTCGAAAATGATTTCCTGCTTATTGATATCATTCCTGAAGTTTTGAAAAATTAAAAAATGAAAAAGAGAGAAGTTACATTAAGTACCTTTCATTTATATTTCATATAGATTATTTATTATTTTTTTGTTAACTTTTAATATTGCTTTAAATGAAACTAGTTGTTATCTAGTCTACATAATATTTCATTGTTGAATTTTTTTTTGTTTGATTCATGAATTATGCTCCATTCTTGATTTGATGTTGTAGATTCTGCTAGGATTGCTACCAAATTCAAATAAAATCTAAACAAGCTGTACAATTGAGCTAATGAGCTATGAGTGTTATTTACATCATCAAAGATATCACAGAGAAATTAATGTGTTTTATTTATTGCGATAAAAGCAAAAAATCTTCGAATTATATTTTAGAAAATATATGAATTTCTAAAATCAATAATTCTTTGATGTATTTCAATAGCAGAATGATTTAATTTTTAATTTTTTGGTATTGTGTATGTGCGTCAATCAGCAATAAAAATTAGTTTAATTAAAAGTGTTTATTCTATTTTTCCTAATTATCTATCAGTTAAGATTAAACTTTCTGCTGTATCTCATATTTTTGAATGAAAAGCAAATTCTTTAAATAAAAAAAAGTATGAAACAGTTGCAGAATGAACACAAAGAAATGTTTCTAAAAATAAGCAAAATAGAAAAATGAAATAGGTCATTAGAAAATATTATGTAATTTCTTGAATGAATTATTAATGAAGAATTTATCATTTTTTCAATTCATTTTTTTTTTTAATATTAAATTCTAAAAGAGAAAAAATTATACCGTAAATCAGTGATTTATGAGCTAATCATTTGCACACTTTTGAATATTTAAAGAAAAAACCAAAGAAAATTGAGCAATTAAACAGAAAATTTTATGTCAAAATCATTCATAGTTACATTTTTCAAATTTTTAAATACTAATATTTCTTCTAAAAATGATAATTTAGTAGCTGATGAAATCAGTTAAAGTTTTTTGCATAATTTCATTCATTTAACAAACTGGATTTTAAATAATCATAGATGGTTTACTTTTAGATGAATACCATATTGATTGATTTAATTGATTCTAGCAAATTCTTTAAATTATCACCAATGAAATAATTGCTTGATGATAATGTTGATTAGATTGATAACTGATAATAAAGCGATATTAATGGTTAGTAAGTGAACAGAATATTTTATGTCTAGTTATAATAGCAGTATGATAATTATTTAACTTTGCACTTAACTTTCAATATTTATCATTCATTACCTATAAATTAAAGTTTGTTCATATTTAATTTATATATGAAATATTGCATAAAAAAATATTTTATTAGTAGAACGTGAATTGCGTGAAATGCGAGCAAAAAATATGTAAAATAAATTTCAAAAAAAAAAGTCAAGATGCTAAGCATTTAGCTTATTTCCACTGTAATAATAAAAATGTTTAAAAAAATAAAAATAAAAATGAAAAGATTAATTCTTGAAAATATATGTGTAACTTTTTACTCATTTGTATGCATTATAAAACAAAAATTTTGGAATATTACAAACAAAAAAATTCTCTAATATTGAATTGTAATTTTGGGCAGCGTAAAATATTAATTTAAGTGTAAATTTCTTTCATACTATGATAAATTCCAAAATTTAAAATATATGTCAAAACTTAAAATATGTCAAAATTCCCTTTACAAGTCAAGAAAATTGATTAACTCATCCTTTTCCCACTTTTTTTCCCTTCTCTCTCTCTCTCTCTCTCTCTCTTCTTCCTCTCCTTTAAAACTCATAAAATGGTATGGCTTTGCTCACTTATTTCGAAAATTATTTTCTTCAGTTTCACATCTTTCTCTGTGTTACTTTTAAATATATTAAATTTAGCAAATGTGCATAAGTAATTAACACTATTATTATGATTGTTATCCTCATCAATATTATTATTATTATTTTATCATCATTATTGTTTTCATTATTATGTATTATCATTACCATTATTGTTATTATTAACACTATTATTATTATTTTCATTATTATACTTATTTATTATTATTATTATTACCACTATTATTATTATTATTATTGTTATTATTATTATTATTATTATTATTATGTTTTCTTTTTCTTCTTCTTCTTATTATTATTATTATGTTATTGTTTAATTTATGTTTTTAGAAAATATTTTAGGCAAAGACTGATTAGAAACGGAAACAAGAACAAAAAACGAATAATTTACGTTTCTCAAAAAAGTTACTTATATTGAATGAACAATTTTTATAATTTTGAAATGAAACGTAAAAAAAAAATGGAATAGAAATGAAAGCATTGAAGCAAAAGGAAAATAAAAAAGTTGTACTGAGATTTATATTATTATCACTGTTATTATTATTATTATTATTATTATTACTATTATTATAATTAATAATATATGCTTTTATTTATATTATTATCAGTGTTATTATCATTATTATTATTATTACTATTGTTATAATTAATAATATATGCTTTTATTTATATTATTATCATCGTTATTATCATTATTATTATTACTATTATTATTGTTCTTATTAATCATTAAATTGTCACTATTTACTAATTTTTTTTTAGAAAATATTTAAGGAAAAGATTGATTAGAAACGGAAGTAAAAACAAAGAAAAAAAAAAACAAATAATTTGCATTTCTCAAGAAAGTTACTTACATTTTTCATAATTTTGAAATGAAACATGCAGAAAAAAGAAAAAAAAAAGAATTGAAGTAAAAGCGTTAATGCAAAAAGAAAATAAAAAAATTTTACTTATAAGATTAATAATTAATATTATATATTTTTATTTATAATATTCAAATCTTTTGTTTTTCTTTTTCATTTATTTATTTGACCTTAAAATTTTACATTTACCATTAAATATAATTTATTTTGTTACATGGAATACATTTGGGGATAATTTCATTTCATTTTATTGTTATGGCAAATATATGGATGAGCAATAATGATTGTAAAGTTAATAGTATGAAAAGATTAGTAATATTAAAGTAAAGGAGAGAGAGAGAGAGGGACAGACGAAGAGAGAGAGGGAGAGAGAGAGGTTAATGGACGTAAGAAGGGTGAGAGAGAAATAGATGAGAAGAAAGGAAGAGTCAGTGAAAGGAAAGGAAAGAGAG